TCTCCCCTGATAGCCCCTAAATCAGCCCCAATTATTCACAGGAGGGGGTCTGGGCTGAGCTGTGATTACAGCTCCAGTGGAGGGGTGAGGGACAGGGACTGGAGTGGGCAGGGCTGGGAGGGGCGGGGGTGGGGGTGGGGCCTGTGGGCAAATTCAGGGCCGGGACCACCAGGGGCCGGGACCTGGGATCCTGAGGCAGGGAGGGGATGCCAGACCAGAAGGTGGGCAGTGGGGGTTGTAGCTCCTTTTCCAGGGTCCCTTACCCGCACCCGAAGACCCAGGAGGGCAAGGGAGGGATCAGGCGGGCACGACCCCTGTGAGTGGGCCATGCTGGCCAGCATCATTGGCACCATGGCCAAGCACCTAGACGGGCTTGGGGAGCAGCAAGGAAGCTCTGTCCTTCTGGGCTTTCCCTTGAGGCTCCCACTGCCCGCCCCTGCCCTACCCTGCTGGCTACCGCGTCTGTGCCTCTGGGGTGTGCGTCTGCTGAGGGGCACTGTGTGCTCAGCTGGTTGCGGCATCAGGGCACTTTCTCCAGCCCTCTCCGATTCCCTCAACGCAGCTGCCTCTAGGACTCCCCGGCAACCCCTTCCCATCCCAGAGGGAAGAGGCACCCACGCTCTGTGTCCCCCAGCTTCCCCCCCACCCGGAGCACTGTCCTGGGTTCTGAGCCACCCACTGCACCGCACCCCTGGGTCAGAGCGGTGGCCTCCTCCCGCTCTCCCTGCTTCCAATGCGCTCCCCACAGCCAACTCAATCCCCAGTTATTCTTTTAAAGCTTGAATTGGATCGTGACCCTCCTCTGTTCAAAATCCCTTAGTGGTTCCCTATCTCCTAGAACAAACTCCAGTGCAGCCAACAAGGCCCTGCGAGGTTTGACCCATCCACTCCCCTGACACCCTCTCTGTTCCAGTGGCCTAGCTGGCCTCTGAACGTGGCATGTGCTCTGGCGTCAGGGCCTTGGTACCTGCTTTTCCCACAGCCTGGAATGCCCTCCCTGCAGATAGCTGCATGGGCCCCTCCTTCACCTCCTCTAGGCCTTCACCTGGAGGTTACCTTCTTCCACTGAGGCCTTCCCTGACCCCCTTTCCAAAACCAGGGCCCCCAGCACTCCCACCCCCTTGCCCTGCGTTGTTGGCCTCTATTTGTTTAGGACAGCACCGAGATCACGGAATGCATCACGATTTTATGGATCTCTCTCACCTCTCCCCCAGCCCCACCACTAGGCCGCAAGCTTCATTTGACCCCTCCATGTTTAGGCAGAGATTTTTCTTTATTTTGTTCACAGCTGTAGCCCCCCCGTGCCTGCACACAGTAGGTGGTCAACAAATCTTCCTTCCATGAATGAATAATAGGGTCCCCAACTAGCTTGTGAGCTCTTGAGAACCGGGGAACTTTTATTTCTTGCCTAAATAAGTTATTAAATATAAAGGTCTTAGGCGAGTGCCTGTGAGTCAGTAGGGTCTGTCCAATAAAAGTAGCTGCCAACACCATCATCATCATCATGGTCATTTCCTCTGCATCCTGGGCACCAGGTAAGCAAAAGACCAGTGCCTGTTGAACAAAAGAATGAAGGAGCCAGGGCGCTGGGCTGGCTCAGTCAGTGCAGCGGGCAACCCTTGATCGCCAGGTTGTGAGGTCGGGCCCCACCTTGGGCACAGAGACTAACTTAAAAAGAAGAAAAGAATGAGGGCCTTGGATCCCCTTGTCCGCTCTTGGGAGAGGCAAGAGGAGAACCTTCATCCGTCCAGCCACAGGGCTGGGCCCCGGAGGTGGAGGTGGGGCCCAGAAAACTGGAGGAGCCTTGCACATGTGGCAGCCCCTCGCGCGGATGTTCATGAGCTCTTACTCTGTGCCAGGCTCCGGATCATAAAGGCCGTTTCGGCCTGTCCCCAGCCCTTGAAACACTCAGGCTAGGGGCGCCTGGGTGGCTGTTGTTAAGCGTCTGCCTTTGGCTCAGGTCATGGTCCCAGGATCCTGGGATCGAGCCCCGCGTCGGGCTCCCTGCTCAGCCGGGAGTCGGCTTCTCCCTCTCCAGCTGCCGCTCCCCCTGCTCAGGCTTTCGCTCTCAGCCTCCCAAATGAATAAATTTTTGAAAATCTTGGGGAAAAAAAAAAGAACACTCAGGCTAGGTGAGACAAGTTTAACGTTCATATGCAAGAGTGGGGAGGGAGGGAGAGGCTGGGCAGGGTCTGGGAGAAAGCACCCTCCGACTGAACCTGAACGTGGAGGGAAGAGAACACCGCGCAGGTGAAGGGCGGAGCGCAGGTTCCCCCCTGGGCCCCTAGAAGGCGCCGCATCGGAAGACTTTCAAGGCCCCTCTGGCCTCGGGCGTGCTGAACTCTATGATCTTGGGCCTCCGGGCCCGGAGCTGTGCGCTGGTTTCTGCTGCCCCCTGCTGGAGACTTTTGGTCCGCCACCCGCAAACTTGTCTCGTGTCCTTCCTGGCGCCAGGTAAGCTGCACCTGCCAGTGTGCTCTCCCCACCCACACCTCCCCGAAGCACCACACTAAGCACTTGCTGGTCTTCCTCAGACAGGAGCCTCTCAGGTAGAAGCTATGCGCAAGACATGTTGTTGATAAAGGACTCGAAACCAGAATACATAACAGATTCATCACTGTTGAACCCCACCATCCCACTCCAAAGAAGCTACCAGGACAGGGGCGCCTGGCCGGCTCAGAGTGTGCGACTCCCCATCGCGGGGTCATGGGTTCGAGCCCCACGTTGCGGGTAGAGCTTACTTTAAAAAAAGCTACCAGGATGAACGAAAACACGTTCACATAAGACTTGTACGCAAACGTTCAGAGTACCTTTACTCACAGTAGCTCAAAACTGGAAACCAAACAGCAGGTCCCACCCAGTGGCGCGTAAAGATAAGGCAAATTGTGGAATATCCATACAGTGGGATGCCACTCAGTGACAAGGAGCAATGAGCTACCCAAAACCGTTATGGTGAGTGAAAGAAGCCAGACATAAGTAAGTATGGCGTGAGTCCATTTATACGAAATTGTAGAACAAACAATTCTACAGTAACAGATCAGAGATTTCACAGAGCTGGGGGTGGGCACGGGGCATTATTTGCAAAGGGATACGAGGGAATTTTCGGGGGACAGAAAGAATTTAAAAAGATTTATTTATTTAATTGGGGTGGGCGGTAGAGGGGGAGAGAATCTGGAGTCGACTCAAGACCACGACCTGAGCCGAAATCAAGAGTCAGATGCCTAATCAACTGAGCCACCCAGGGACCTGGCAGGCATAGAAAAATTTTTTAAAAATTATGTTGACTGGGGCGCCCAGCTGGCTCAGTCCGTGGAGCATGCAACGCTTGATCTCGGGGTGGTGAATTTGAGCCCCACTTTGCGGGTAGAGCTTACTTTTAAAAAGCTATTTTGATTGAAGTGGGGGTTATACAGGATAACACATTTGTCAAAACTCATCAAACTAAGACATCAAACCAAGTGAATAAGCCAGACACAAAAAGACAAATATTGTATGATTCCACTTATGCCACTTACCAGGAGTAGTCGAATCCATAGACACAGAAAGTAGAATAGAGATGACCGGGGGGCCGGGGGGGGGGGAGGAGTAGGGAGTTGGCGTTTAATGGGGACAGAGTTCGAGTTTGGGGTGATGAAAACGTTATGGAGATGGATGGCCGTTGCACAATATGGATGCATTTATGTCACCGAACTGTCCACTTTAAAATGGTTAAAATGGTAAATTTTGCCATAATTTTTAAAAATCTTAAAAAGTGTCATCGAACAGTACATTTTTAAGTGGATACGTTTTTTATTGTTTGTCAGTCATGCCTCAGTAAAGTTGATTTAAAAAATCTCCAAGTAGGAGTGTTCCTGCCTTGCTCTTTCTGACTATTGTAGCTTTTTTTTGTGGCAGGCGGTGCAACCCCGGGCGGGAGCACAGACCACGGTTGGAATCCTGCGTAGCCACTTAGTAGCATCCTAACCGCGCGGGACAGCCGTCTCATTCTGTAAATGAAACCGATCCCGAGTTAAGGATTCCTGCCTTCGGCTCAGGTCATGATCCCGGGGTCCTGGGATCGTAGCCCCGCATCAGGCTCCCCGCTCCACGGGAAGCCTGCTTCTCCCTCTCCCACTCCCCCTGCTTGTGTTCCTGCTCTCGCTGTGTCTCTCTCTGTCAAACAAACAAACAAACAAACAAACAAACAAACAATCTTAAAAAAAAAAAGGATTCAATGACGTAGTCCACCTGAAGGGCTGGCGAGGATGAAAGCAAATGGTACTCGTCACAAAAATGGTCTGCGTCCACTCAGAGACCGTGCGGTCCCAGGCCCTAAGAGTGGGGCGCGGGTGCGCGCTGTGGCCGCCAGGTGGCGCCCGGCAGCAGGCGGGCTCCGGGCAGGGGCGGAGGCTGGGCCCAGGGTCGCCGCGGGTCCGGGGCTCCTCGGGCCGGAGCGGAGGAGGGGACACTGGGCCGCGGCCCGCCTCGGGTCCCGCGGTCGCCGGACCGCCCAGGGAAGGTGCCCGCTGCAGACGGGCTCTTTGGCCCTCGGCACAACCCCACTTTGCAGACTGGTAGGCTGAGGCGCGGGAGGCGGAGCAACCCGGGGCCCTGCTGCTGTTGGGGAACCAAGAGGGTCCCGGCTCCGGGGACCCCCCCTTCCCCACCCTCTCCGCTCCAGGGCAGGCTGCCACCCCAACACCGCTCCCTCCGGCTCCCAGAGCCCCCAGCCGTCCCTAGCCCCCCTCCCCCCGCGACCGCAGCCCCCGGCTTCCCCAATCACCCTTCCCCGGAGCCCCCAGGCCCCCAGCGTCCCCTTCCCCTGGCATCTCCCTCCCCGGGTGCCCATAGCCCCCCTCCCCGGCTCCCCCGGCTCCCCCGGCTCCCGCGTCCTCCCCGGCGCCCCCTCCACACTTCCTGCCCCCGGGGGCCCGGGGGCCCGCCCCCTTCCTGCCCCGCCCCGCCCCGCGGGCCGCGCGCCCCGCCTCCCCGCCGTCCGACCGCCCCGCCGGCCCCTCCAGGCCGCCGGGCGGTCCCCACCCCAGGCCTGCGACAGCCCGGGTCCGAGGCAGGTGAGTGACTGCGCGCCCCCTCTGCCCCGGGGAAGGGCTGCGGACAGCGAGTTCTCCTGCGTGAGGGTGGGGGCAGCGGAGGAGCCGAGGGCATTGGGGTGGCCCTCTCCTGGGGACAGCACGAAAGTGGCATGCAAATGAGGCCTCTTCCCGAGCCCCCCGGAGCGACTTGTGGCGGCGGGGTGGGGGGTGGGGCGGAGGGAGGGCGGCTGGAGAGCCGGGTACCAGGCCTTCTACTAGGCTGAGGGGAGCCTTGAGAGCGCCCACACTGGAATCACGGCCGCTTGAGTTCGAATCTCCACTCTGCCCCTTCCTGGCCGTAGGTCCTCTGTGCCTCAGTCGCTCTTTCTAAGTGGGGACTCATGGAGCATAGTGCCTGACCATGGGGTTATTGGAGGCTCAGATGAACAAAAACTTGTCTCCTCTTAGCACAGCGCCTGCGCAGGGCTATTGTTACTGCTGCCCGGCGCTAAGACCTGACCTGACCCGGCAGGAGCGTTAGGGATGGGGCCCAGGTGTGCAGCTCCCTGGCGCCCCTGGCTTTGCCAGTTTTGAGCACGAGAAGCTGGCCACAGGTCTCTTGCGTCTGGATCGGCAGAGAGCCTTGGGCTGGGCAGATCATTTGCGGTGGCAAGGCTGGGGTAGGGGTGGCCGGCCCCAGAAGCCGGGGCCCTCATAAGGGCACCGCTCAGCCCCGCCCATCGCTTGCCTCAGTGCTGGATCCTCGATCTCCCGTCCTGACCTTGCATGAGCGGCCTCTCCCGGGGCTGGGCTGTGACCCCAGTCCCCAGGGATGGGAACAGCTTGTGGTGGCCTGAGGTTCCCAGGCTCCGCCAGACGTCTGCTCCAGGCAGGACTGGGCAAGCGGTCAGCTCTCAGCTGGGCCTGGGCAGGGGGTTGGTGCGGCCAGGGGGCTCTTCCCTGAACCCCAGCCCACCCCAGTCCACGCTCTAGTGCCTGTGTGCGTCGCCTGTGAGCCAGCGTGCGGGCAGCTCTCTGTCCCCGTTCCCCCGCTGCTCCTCTCCTACACCTGCAGCCCACCCCCCATCTACCCAGCCTCCTTGCCGCTGCGGTTGGGGGTACCTTCCCTGCGCCTGGGAGCTGAGTGGGAGGCCGGGCTCACCTCTCTGGCCCCCTCTCCTCACTGGGAGGTGAAACCCAGGACTGGCACCTTTCCTCACTCCCCTACCCCATTCCCTATCAGACTTTCCCAGAAGAGGAAACTGGCTCTCCAGGCAGATAGAGGTCACTGCACTGCTGTCTGCCCCCACCCCCCCAAGCTGCTGGGGAGGGTGCTGGAGTCAGGCAGGGCCGCCGCCGCTGTGCTTCCCAGCGTCTCCTTAGCGTGGCCTGGGACACATTGAGAGAGAGCCTCCCCGGACGCAGGATGGCGCGGCCATTCTCGCCCCGAAGTCCTAGCGCCGCCGGGCCAGCTCGGGAGGGTGTCGGCACCATGCCTGGCACATAGTCGGGCCCGGAGAGGCTAGCAGGAGGAGGGGGAGGCCAGGAAGGAGAGAGAAAGACAAAAATGGAGACACAGAGAGAAATAAGAGAACAGAGACGTGACACTGCAAACGAGAGCCGCAGGGAAGAAAGGGCAGACCTCGGGGAAACAGAGCGGCGACCTGGGGAAAGAACAGAAAGGGGTGGAGACAGAGGAGAGTGGGGAGTCCCAAGCCCAGAGGGAAGACCGGCGCTGGGGTGGGCGGGGGAGGATGTAAAGGGTTAGCACAGGCTTCGGGGTCCCTATCCCTGCTCTGCCCTCGCCTGGCTGTGTGACCTGGGGCAAATTATTTACCTTCTCTGGGATATTTCTTTATAAAATGGGAAGCGTGATAGCACCTACTTCTCAGGACTGCCGAGGGAATGAGCAGAAATCATCTGGCACACATTTAACGAGGGCTGGCGGTACAGCTCTCCCACGCGAGCCAAGACAGAGGTCTCTAGAGGGAACCAGCATGTGGGGGGCCCTGGGACATGGGGCCTCCTGGGTCCCCTCCCCTCTCTCTGCCTCCCACCCAGGGCCCAGTCCCTCTGATTTCCGGGGAAGCCTGTGGGTGGCCAGGGAGGGGGCGGTGTCCCAGGCCTGAGGCTCAGGGATAAGGGTTCAGGCGGTGAAAGCACACCGCCTCCTCCCCAGGTGACTCAGAGCCTTGCAGGACTGTGCACTCATCCGTTAGGAACTCGGAGGCCGCCGGAGGAACGCCTGCTGGAGGTCAGGAGGGCAGTCTGGGGCCGCCTTTCACTCCACAAGGGTGGAGGCTCTCTATGAACTCCAGTTTCCGGCGTCTTGCCAATCCTGGGTTTGAGGGCCCAGTGCCGCGGCCTGAGGGGCCGGGGGTGGGGGGGGAAGCCGCGTCCTGGGGGCCGGGCATCCCTGCGTGCCCTGCTGGCCGGGGCTGGGGACAGTAGCGAGGAAGGTGAGGAAGGCAGAAAAGCGCCCTGAGCCCACTGAGCTCCGTTCCAGTGGGGAAGACTAACCTTGATAAAGACATAATGGCCATGGCGCAGGGGCACCCAGCCCGCTCATGGCCTCGGAGAGCAACGGACGGAGGGTGTCCAGCCTGCTGGGGAAGCCAGAGCACAAACCTGCCGTCCCAACACTGGCCCCAGCCCAGGCCAGCAGACCCCAAGGCTTCCAGGGGCTGTGGACTCCTGGCTTGGCCTGGGTCGGCCCCACATGCCCCCAGACGAGGGACACGGGTGCTGACCCTTTGGCTGGGGTCTGGGGAAGTGTTGGAGCCGGCCCCGGGGGAGAATAGCCCAGGGCCCCTCTGGGCCACGGGGGCCTGCAGGCCGGCTCTCAGGCCGGGAGGAGTGCGGCAAGTGTGCGGCCCAAGGGGCGGCGTCCTGGAAGGGGCCGGGAGGGTGGACTGCTGGCCGGCCTGGCTCCTGGTGCCCTTTCCCGTGGTGCTGGTGTGGGGAGCCACAGAGGGCGTCAGACAGCAGCGGTGGCCAGAGAGCCGTGGCCCTTTCTGGGGGGATCTGGGGGTAGGCAGGGAGCAGGGGGCCAGAAGGGGAGTCCCTTCCGGCCTGTGTCGTCTGGGGGTTTCTCTCCACCCAGTGCTTTGTTCTTTGAAGCCGATTCTAATCCCGCTGCCGCTGCTGGCCACCAGTTGGCCCTGGGCAAGTCGTTTTCCCGAGGCCTCCGTGGCCCTCCTGGGACTGAGGACAGCAGACGGCGGCACCTGTAGGCCGTGGCCGTGGCAGGGCTGGGCCTGGCATTGGCGCCAGCCTCCAGGAGGCACGCGATAGACGTTCGGTGAATCAGAATCCCCACAGTTTCCCTGTTTCCTGATGAGTAAACAGGTCGGGCTGAGGACCCTCTAGCTTCTGTTTCCTGAGCCACAGAGAACACAAGGCCGGCCCCTCACCCCTGCCCTCTTCCCGCCCAGCCTCTGGCCGGCACACAGGCTTCCTGTCCCTCCATCCGGCAGACAAGCCTGGAGTGCCTGGCAGCCTGGCTGAATGTAGGCGGGGCTCTGGGCTTGTGTGTGCAAGCGTGGACACGTGTATACTGAGTGGCACGGGGGCCGGGATGCATCCCTGTGTGGGGAGGCGGCAGACTGGGGTCTCAGTGCTGAGTGGGGAGGACTAAGTGATCCTGTCTCCATGGCCAAGATGGGCTTGGAAAGGGCACAGGGAAACAGACACAGACAAGGGAGGTAGACCCGGGGCCAGGCCCCGTGGCTAAGCTAAGACACATGGCTTGGTGAGCTTCTGCTGCACACTGAGGGTGCATGCCCTTGTGCAGTGAACACACCGCACAACCGTGCTGTGCCTGGCAGCCATGATAGAGGAAAGGAAGAAGAGGGGTGCCTGGGTGGCTCAGTCGGTTGAGTGTCGACTCTCGATTTCAGCTAGGTCGTGATCTCAGGGGCCATGAGATCGAGCCCCGTGTCGGACTCCACGCCCAGCATGGAGTCTTTTGGAGATTCTCTCCCTCTGCTCCTCGCCCTGCTCTCTCTGAAAATAGACAAATAAATCTTAATAAAAAAAGGGGGGGGGGCGCCTGGGTGGCTCCGTCGGTTGAGCGTCTGCCTTTGGCTCGGGTCATGATCCCAGGGTCCTGGGATCGAGTCCTGCGTCGGGCTCCTTGCTCGGCGGAGAGCCTGCTTCTCCCTCTCCCTCTGCCTGCCTGCCGCTCCCCCTGCTTGTGCTCTCTCTCTCTCTCTCTGTCTCCCTCTCTCTGTGTCAAATAAATAAAATCTTAAAAAAAAAAAAAAAGGAAAGGAAGGAGAGAGGCAGAAAGACACAGACCGAGAAACTGATGGAGGAAGACAAAAAAGGCAGAAAGCAGAGAGGTTTTTTTTAAGGGCTTTATTTATTCTTATTTATCTGAGAGAGAGAAGAGGGGCAGAAGAGGGAGAAAGCATCCGAGGCTGACTGCGCTGAGCGTGAGCCTAACATGGGGCTCAAGGTCACACCCGCGAGATCGTGACCTGAGCCCAGTTGGATGCTCCACCGACGGAGTGCCCCAGTTGCCAGAAAGCAGGGAGTTTTTGATGAGGAACAAAACAAAAACAAAGAGAAGAGGCCAAGAGCCTAGCACCTGGGGGATTCTGTCTCTGCCCCCGCACTCTGCCGAGCGGCTTCTGGTCTGAGGCTCTGCTCCAGGGTGGTTACCGGCCCTAGCGGTTCAACCCCCACTGTACCCTGCGAGCTGTGGGGGCCACTCTCCCATTTTACAGAGGGGGAATCGAGGCTTACAGGGCACAGGTGACATGCCTGAGGTCACACAGCTTGTAAGTACTAGGACCTCTGGACTCTGCGACAGGAGGGGGACACAGAGAGATGGGAGGAGGGGCTGGGGGCGCCAGGGGTTGGTGTTCACGTTGGGGGCTGGGGGCAGCAGAAGCCAGGCGTCCTGTCTCAGCAACCCACTTTGGCTTGAAGATGTACCTGGCGGGCAGCCCATCGTTCTGAGGGATCAGGTTTTGTGGGGGGGCTGGCCCCCTCCCACCCCCATTTCCCTTCTCTGTGTCAGCAGCTAAGGCCCCATTCCCGGATCATCCTGGGGGTTCTTCGGAAAAAAACAAGAAACAGCTTTTCTTGGAATTAATACCCAAAGGGTATGACAGTGCCAAGGGCAGTGGGGATGGGGATGGGGTGCGGGAGGTGGGGAGATGCAAATGTGAATTGAGCACGTTGGGGATCTCGCAGCACTTCATCTGTATTAACTCCTGTATTGATGTGCGGGACAGCTCTGCTGCTAGCACCCCCTTTTACAGAGGGGGGTACTGAGAACTGTGATTCGTTGCCCAGCTCAGAGGCTGTCCTCCACTGTCCCCACTCCCAGAGAAGAGCTGGGGAGGGGAGCCGGCGGGGAAGGCCCTCCTGCTCTCTGCCTCCTACCAAAATGATGATCACCTCCTGTCCACCAGGAGCTCTGCCCCCTCCCAAAGACCCAGACTCCTTTCCCTCCTGCTAAGGGGGCTGGGGCAGCGGAAGAACAGGGGCTCCCCACGGGAGGGAATCGGGCTGAGCGGAAGAAGGGCTGGGGCCGGCTGCGTGTGGGCCTGGAGGCCCCCGGGGCAGGGCTGGGGGAGGCCGTGCTCCACTCGGGCCTGGCGACTCGGGCCCTGGCCGGGGGCCCAGCTGCCTTGCATCTCGAGGTGGAGGAGAGAAGCTCCACTCATTCTTGACCGCGAACATATCCCCGTTCCCACGCCTCTGGTGTGTTCTGTGGCGGCCCCCCCTCTTCTGTCCGCCCCCTCCCGACTCCCCCTCTGCATAACTGAGACTGTTACAGAGAGATGCAAAGCCCCTGGGATTCCCCGCCTGGGCTGCACTGATGGGAACCACCGGAGCCTGTGCCAGCAGTCTGGGTTGGGATCCCAGCGGGCTGTGTGGCCCGGGGCAGGGTGCTTACTCCTGCCGGTGCCCTCACCTGTCAAACAGTGCTGCCTCCCGTGGGGGCCGGAGGGCAGCCTGACGTGAGACCGGGAAACGGCACAGCTCCCCACCTTTCTCCACACAGTAAAGGATGCCTGGGCCACCCGAGCGTTCTTGGGAGGGAAGGTGTCAGGCAGGAGCCTACGGTGAGGGGGATTGGGGGGTGCCCTCTGGGAGTGCGGGTTGGGAGCCAGAGCTGCTGATTTAAAACGGGGGGGGGGGGGGCGGAGTGTAGGCACGTGGGCCCGGTGCTGATGGGCCTGGGGGTGTTGGGGAGGGACAGGACCAGGGCCTCAGTTTCCCCAGCCCGTAGGGGACAAAGTCTCAGATGGAGGCAAGCTGGGGGCCAGGCTGGGGCTCTGGGCTCCTGGTCTGGCCTGGGGTCCCCCTCCTCAGGGGCTGAGGTCGGCCAGGCCAAACACTGCCCCCCCCCCGCCGGGATCCTCATGGTACCTCTGCACCTCTCCCCTCCCTGCGGACCCCCCACTGGTCTGACCACCCGCACTTCCAGCCCTCCTCCTGACCCACTGGGCCCCCTGTGTACTCTGGGAGCCCGAGGCCCTTTGGGAAAGGAGAATCTCCCCACCCCTCCAGCCCTTGATCCCCCGTTATCAAGGTCAACTCTGGGATGGGGGGTTGGAGCCCTCCTCACGCTCCCCTGCCCACCTCCTGAAGCCCCCAGGTGAACCATTTCCTCTAGACATCAGTTTGGGGGGCAGTGGCTGGTGGGAGGGGCTGATGTGAAGGCCCCTGGCCCTGCCTCAGGTCCTTCCTGCTGTGGGGTGTGTGCCCCCCCCGCCACAGCCTCACGCTCTGGGGACACGGGTCCAGGAGAGGGGGGCGCTGGGTGGCGATCTGGATCCGGATCCCTTCAGACCGAGCCCCAGTCTGAGGACAGCTGGGGGCCAGGCAGAGGGCAGTGTGAAGACAGGGTGGAGGCGGGAGGTGTGTGAAGGCTCAGGATCCTGCCGGGGCGCAGCCAGGGGAGGCCCCGCGGGGACAAGGTCAGCTGGGAGCCCACAGGGTGGGCCCTGGAGACAGGCCTGGACCTGGGAAGGTGGCAAGAGGAGCCAAGTGTGTTTGGGAGGCGGGTGGGGGATGCAGAGTTTGTGGTGGGGGGGTTGCCCTGGAGACAGACACTCATGACTGAGGCCTGGCTCTCTGAGGACGGGCTGAGTCTCCCCCCCACCCCTTCAGACGGGGGCCTGGGTGCTCAGCTCCGGAGACAAGTCGCTGGCCCTGCCCCCTGCATCCCATCGTCTGAGTTCAGAGTTGGGGAGCAGGGAGCCCAGGACCCCGCTCCCTGCTGCCCTCCCCCACACATGCACACACCAGCCAGGCTCGATTTCCTGTTTTCAGGCTCCATATCCTGAGCGCTGGGATCCCCCAGGACACTGCCAGGCCCCCCAGGCCCTACCCCTGGCTCCTCCGAGTTTCTCAGGCCACAGGGTGCCTGGTGAGTGTCCCGAGGACTGAGGGTGGGGGAGGAGCACCAAGGAGGCCAGTGGTGGACGTGTGCCCTGGGGGAGCTGTGACAGGGCCACGGGTCGTCCCGCAGCGGGGCAGCCCCTGGGCCAGCCGCTGGGAGGTGGCGGAGACAGCGGGCGGCATTCCTGGGGCTGCAGCAGAGGGTGACATGGGATCAAGTCAGGGCGCATCTCTCTCCCTCGACTTGGAGGGCTGACAGCGGCTGGGGGGCCCTGGGAGTGTGTGGGTGGGGGGCGTGGGGTGGGGCCAGGCAGCAGGCATTCCAGAGATACTGGGGGTGGGGGAAGGGGCCAGCAACTGTGACCTTTCTCTCTTCTCGGGGAAAATTATAAGCAGATGTGGGCGCCTCAGGGAGACAGGGAGCCAGGAGGCAGGGCAAGTTTTAGGAGCACGGATCCGACTGCAGGGGTGGGTACTCAGGAGCTCAGCCCCTCCTGAGCCCCGCTGAGGTCCTGACCGGCTCCCCACCCGCCGGGGCGAGGCCAGGGTGGAGGAGGAGGCTGAGAGGAGCTGCCTTCCAGATGGCTGAGGGGGTGGCCAGAGGGAGCTGGGGACCGCTTACAACTGAGGCCGGCCTAGGGGCCGTAGCCCTGGGACTTGGGGGCAGTGGTGCGCTGCTGGTGGGGTGGGGATGGGGTTGTCCCTGGTTTGTGGTGTTTGGCGGTGTCCCTGGTGTCAATAATCCCCCCGAGCGAGCGTGATTTCAGGCTCCTAATGTGTCCTCTCTGGCCGGGCACCGTTGGCTCCTGGAAGGCCCTGGAGACGCACCAGATACCAGTGGTTAGGAGGGGCCTCCTTCAAGGTCACCCGGACCGGCCCTACTCCTAGCCATTGAGCCGCTGGCCCCCAGCTGCATCAGAGGGGTTTTGGCCTCCGCCTGCATGCATGCAGTGACAGGAAGCTCCCCTTCGAGTGGCAGATTCCATGACAGGCTGCTGTGCCTGGGAATTCTTCCTCCAGCTGAGCCCTGGTGGGCCTCCCGCATGACTTCCCCACTGGCTCCAGCTTCCCACCTCCACACCAGCGTCCCGGTGCCCTGGGCAGGGGCTGGCCGGGGGGCTCAGAGACCCAGGGCAGGAGCCCCGCCTCTAGAGGCCCTGGGCCCTGTGTGAGTGAATGGTGCTGGGAGGGGTGGGGGCAGTCTGCAGAGAAGGAGAGGTGTCACTTCGGGGAGACTTTAAGAGGTGAGGACTCAGGAGAAGAACGGAGGGAGGACGGCCAGGCAGAGGGAACAGCCACCTGGTCAGGGATGCGACCTTGGGAAGCAGAGCCCTCCCATGGCAGCAGCCTCGTGCACACCCCCTTCTGGTCCCTGCAGATACTCGGTGGCCCGGCACCTGCCCCAGCGCCTGGCCTCGCAATGCTACCCCCTCTGTGCTCCCTCCTTCTGGCCCTGGGCCTGGGCCTGGCTGGAGCCCTCAACCCCAACGACCCCAACACCTGCAGCTTCTGGGAAAGGTGAGGGGCCCTTGCTGCTTCCGCAGCTCCCCTACTGTCTATGGGGTCTCCTCTCCTTCTCCTTCCCCGCCTCCCTGCCTCTCCCCAGCCCCCCCACCCCTCCTGATTCTGTCCCTGCTCTCTCCCCTGCACGGGCTGCCTCCGACCCTGTCCTTCCCTCATCCCCATCCCTGGTCCCTGTGGGAAGCTGGCTGCAGGACAGAGCGCAGGGTGGGAGCCATTCACTATGGAGCAAGCCGGGGGTGGGGGGGGCTGGCCCCAGGGGAGCAAAGGGTTGGGGAACGAGGCCCAGGTCGGGGTCTGGCCAGAAATGCTTCGCCTGTCTCCATCAGCTGGGCCCAGAAATCAGTTCTAGCTCAATCTCCCCGGTGGGGAGGAGGAGGAGGGAGAAATGGAAGGCTCTGGTCCAACAGGGCGAGGAGGGGGCAATGATGGGGGGTGTCCCAGGAATATTCCAACTCTGGGAGGACCCCTCCAGATGGAGGGGGCCAGGATAGGGGTTCCTCCTAGGCTTGGGGGAGCAAACCCCCATGTTGGGGCAGCATCCCCCAGCATGGCCAAGCCCTCATACCTCTGCTTCTGGAGTGCCCTGTGGCAGCCAGCTCCCCCCCACACTGAGCCCTGGCCCCAACCCTGTCCTGCAGCTTCACCATCACCACCAAGGAGTCCCACTCCCGCCCCTTCAGCCTGCTCCCCTCGGAGCCCTGCGACCGGCCCTGGGAGAGCCCCCACAGCTGCCCCCAGCCCACGTGAGTGCCCACCCATCCCCCTGCCGTGCGCTGAGTGCTGCCCCAACTTGGAGTGCCGAGGAAGCACTCAAGGGGTGGTGGTGAGGGGCTTGTGTGGGCGTGTGTGCACCCGTGGAATATTGTGTGTGTGTGTGGTTGGGGGCAGTGAGGGAATGCTCTTTTTGTGCCCCCCACCCCTGCCTGGAGTGGTGAGCCATGCCCGATTCCCCAGTGCCACGTGGTGGTGCCACACGGCGGTGGGGGTGGCCGGCCTCAGCAGGGGGCACTGAGGGCCACCTTCGGGGTCCCCTAGGGTCGTCTACAGGCCGGTGTACCGCCAGGTGGTGAGGACAGAGCACCGGAAGCGTCTGCGGTGCTGTGTGGGCTTCTACGAGAGCCGGGGCACCTGTGTCCGTGAGTCCGGGTGGGGCCAGGGAGGGGGAGAGGGAGGGCCCAGCCCCCGCTTCTCTGCCCCCTCCGGGCTTGTCCTCCCCCCGCTCCCCCAGCAGCTGCCACTAGCCACCTCTGTCCTGGCTGACCCCATGTTTCTCCCTCCGCTTCTCTCCCTGTGTTTGAGCACCTCTGTCTCTGTCTGTCTCGGGGCTGCCTTCGTGTCTCTGTGTCACTATGAGTCTCTGTCTCTTCCCGTCCCTGTCTCTCTGTTGCTGTCTTTGACTTGTCACTGCCCAGGCTCTCCTGCCCGGCCCCCGCACGCCCCGAAACCCCCGACCGGAGCCTTCTCTGCCTCTCTCCCCCTTCCTTCATCCCCTAGAGACTCCCACCCAGCCTGACCCACTCCCCGCCGGCCCGCCGGCTCTCTGCACAGAGCCAAGTCTGGTCCTGCCCGAGGAGCCCCTCTCTGTTTTCCCAATTTGGTGGTTGGAGAATGTCACACCGAGGGGCTGGGGAGCCTGGAACTCTGAGCCTTTGTCAAGTTCTGGCCTGAGTTGCTGGCCCTGTCTTCTGTGGCCACTTCTTTGAGGCAGAAGTGCTGCTCCGGGAGGGCCAGGCCTCCAGGGTCCGGCTTCGGAGGAGGAAAGGCGGGTAGGGGCAGGGGAAGCACCTCTCGCTCCCTCCCTCTCTGCCCCAGCTCTCTGCGCCCAGGAGTGTGTCCACGGCCACTGTGTGGCTCCCGATCGGTGCCAGTGCGCGCAGGGCTGGCGGGGCGGCGACTGCTCCAGCGGTGAGTGCGGGGCGGCTACAGGGGCATGGGACTGGGGCTGCACCCTCCTGACCATGCACGGGTGTTTAGTCCCCTAGGACAGGTGCCCCAAGAGCCCCACAGCAGCCAGCTGCCTTTTCTGAGGTGTGGCACGGGGCATGGGTGTGGGGCGCGGGCTGGGACACAGAGCCGGGGACTGAATGGACGTTAGGGAGGCGGAGACCCCCGGTGACCCCCTTCTTCCCTCCTCATCCCACAGCTTGTGCCCCAGGCATGTGGGGGCCTCAGTGTGACAAGCCCTGCCACTGCGGGAACAACAGCTCCTGTGACCCCAAGAGTGGAGCCTGCTTCTGCCCCTCCGGCCTGCAGCCCCCACGCTGCCTCCAGCCCTGCCCTTCTGGCCGGTACGGTCCTGCCTGTCAGCTACCCTGCCAGTGCCACGGAGCGCCCTGTGACCCCCGGACCGGAGCCTGCTTCTGCCCCCCAGAGAGAACGGGACCCAGGTGCATAATGGGGTCGCAGAGACGGGGCCACGTGGACACGTGGGGATATGAGGGGACTCGGACTTGGTCCCAAATGGGACAGAACGGAGAGGCTGAGGTCTTTGTCCCACAGCTCTCCCACTGGTGAGCTGAGAACCTTGAGCCAGTCGAGTCTTCATGAGCTGTGCCCTGTCTGTAAGATGGCCACCGTATTGTCCACCTGGAAGGCTCACTGTGCAGATGAGCCTGCATGTGTGTGAGCGGGGGTCGCGAAGTGGGGCTGACACGGTCCCAGAGAAGCCAGTCGTAAGGAGGTGCGGGGCCAGGCGGGGGGGTGGGGGGAGATGCACTAGGTGGAGATGCACCAGGCCTCACAGAGCAGCCCCAGAGGGGGGCCCTCTGGGGCAGAGAAACTGGCAGGCAGTTGCACCCCTTCCCCCCCGCAACAGCAGGAGCAGAGCAGAAGGGGCACACCCCTCTCTGGGGTGCTGGCTGTCCCCACCGTTTCTGGGCCCGGAAACCTTTGCTTTCTGACTCCTCCCGTCCCCGACAGGGAAGGTGGGTGGCATCCGACCACTGGATGCCACACTGAGCCCTGAGGTCAGGATTTGCTCCTCAGGGAGCCAGGGGGCAGGGGGCCAGCCCTTGGAGGCAAAGGGGGGGCGGGTGCTGCTGGCACCCACCCTGACCTCGCCATTTTGCCCAGCAGCTGTGAGATGTCCTGTCTCCCCGGCATCGTTGACTTCTGCCCCAGCACCTACCCTTGCCACAACGGGGGTGTCTACCAGGCCTCCCAGGGCTCCTGCAGCTGCCCACCTGGTTGGATGGTAGGAAGGGTGGGGCCTGAGCCGATGGGGTGCTTCTCTGAGGGATTGGGAGGAGGATGTGTGTGAAGGGGGTGGGCTCTGCAGACCTGCAGGGGTTCAAGGTATGGGGGTATCAAGGGGTCCTGTGCCCATGGGGAGGGGCTGTCCATCTTCCACCTCTCCAGGGCACCATCTGCTCCCTGCCCTGCCCAGAGGGCTTCCACGGACCCAACTGCTCCCAGGAGTGCCAATGTCACAATGGTGGCCTCTGTGACCGATTCACTGGCCAGTGTCGCTGCGCTCCGGGCTACACGGGGGATCGGTGAGTGGCTTTGGCGAGGGCGGGAGCAGCGAGGGGGTGGGCGCCGCCAGGCTCACTGGCCAGGCCTCCAGGTGCCGTGAGGAGTGCCCCGTGGGCCGCTTCGGCCAGGACTGTGCGGAGACGTGCGACTGCGCCCAGGGCGCGCGCTGCTTCCCGGCCAACGGCGCGTGTCTGTGCGAACACGGCTTCACCGGGGACCGCTGCACCGAGCGCCTCTGTCCCGACGGCCTCTACGGCCTCAGCTGCCAGGAGCCCTGCACCTGCGACCCGGAGCACAGCCTCAGGTGTGCCGCGGGAGCGCGCTCAAGGGTCGGACGCCAATGGGAGAGGACTTGGGTCCTGAAGCCGCGGACAGATGTCACAGAAGGGGGAGGGAGGGGCCTCGGGGGTGGGGGCGGGGGCGCGCTCGGAACGGTCCCCCAGTTCGGCGAAGCCCCGCGCCCGCCGCGCCGAGGGGCCCGGGAGCCCGGGGAGGCCGGAGAGCGCGCGCGGACCCCGTCAGACGGCGCCGCCCGCTCCCGCCGCAGCTGCCACCCGATGAGCGGGGAGTGCTCGTGCCTGCCGGGCTGGGCCGGCCTGCACTGCAACGAGAGCTGCCCGCAGGACACGCACGGGCCCGGCTGCCAGGAGCACTGCCTCTGTCTCCACGGCGGCGCGTGCCAGCCCGACAGCGGCCTGTGCCGGTGCGCGCCCGGCTACACGGTGAGGCGCGGTGCGGCGAGGACCCGGGGGGGGCGAGGCGGAGGGGCCGCGCCGCCCCCTCACAGTCCCCCCGCCTTCAGGGCCCGCATTGCGCTAGCCTCTGCCCCCCCGACACCTATGGAGTCGACTGCAAGGCGCGCTGCTCCTGCGACCACGCCATAGCCTGCTCGCCCGTCGACGGCGCCTGCGTCTGCAAGGAGGGTAATGGGGCGGGGCCTCCGGGGAGGGGCGACTTGGGGGCGGGGCCACGGGAGAAGGCGGGCCTAAGGGTGGGGGCGGGCCCCGGGCGGAGTGGAGGCTGCAGGGTGAGGGCGGAGCCCCCGGGGAGCAGCTGGACGGTGGGACAGTAGCCAGGCTACTTCCTTCCTGGAAAATCCACTTTGCTTTTCTTCAGCCACAAAAATCCTACTTGTGCTTAAAGGCCCAGGTCAGAAGGCACGTCTCGGGCGAGCATCCCTCTCCCTCAGTCATCTAGAACCACGCACTGGCAGGGCCAGGAAGGGCTTCCGAGATCCACCCCGGTGGCCCGTTGGCAACCTTTAGACTGCGTTCTGACACGGATGTGTTGTATTTGGCTGGCTCTCGGTGATGTGTAACCCACCTCCGGTCTCCAGTCCCCACTCCTCCCTGTAGTCTTACACATGATCTGTACATTTAGTTACCTGGTTTCGGGTTTGCTCTAAGCGTTTGGTTTGCTGCCAAGCGCCCCCCCCCCCACCATTCTGCAGGAGAGGCAGGCCCCAGAAGGGAGCGGTGCACCAGCAGCCCCGGAGCGTGTTACCGGTGTACATGCTTGCCTCCTGCGTGGGCCACGAGCATCCGCACTCCCACCCCCAGGTCACGGCACAGAGCCTGGCACAGCTGATGCCGCGTGTGTGCTTGCTCAGGAGGGGGGCTGGATCCCCATGCCTCTCTGCGGGGCCCCTCTTCCAGGTTGGCAACGTGGTAACTGCTCCGTGCCCTGCTCCCCCGGAACCTGGGGCTTCGGTTGCAATGCTAGCTGCCAGTGTGCCCACGAGGCAGCCTGCAGCCCCCAAACTGGAGCCTGTACCTGCACCCCTGGGTGGCATGGGGCCCACTGCCAGCTCCCCTGCCCGGTAAGTGCTCAACAGCCTGTCTGCCCAGGGGAGGGCGGGTCACAACGACCCCCACAGCTGACTGGCCTGCCCTGCCTTCCACTCCCTCTCCAAGAAGGGGCAGTTTGGTGAAGGCTGTGCCAGCCGCTGTGAGTGTGACCACTCTGACGGCTGCGACCCTGTTCGTGGACACTGCCGGTGCCAGGCTGGCTGGACGGGTGAGCATCAAGTTGTCTCGGCCCCAGGCCCCCCACAGCTGGGATGGATCCCACAGGAAAAGTGTCCAGAAGAGCCCCTGTGGACGTTGGGGGGGTGCCGGCCAGGCTCACCCTACCCTTCCGTCCCACAGGGACCCGCTGCCACCTGCCCTGCCCCGATGGCTTCTGGGGAGCCAACTGTAGTAAGAGCTGTACCTGCAAGAATGGGGGCACCTGCGTCCCCGAGAACGGCAATTGCGTGTGCGCCCCCGGATTCCGAGGCCCCTCCTGCCAGAGATGTGAGGCTCCCTCTCCTTCCCCCCACTCGCCAGGAGGAGGGTACAGGGCAATGTCAGATGCCAGAAGCCCCCCGCTGCCCCTCTTGGTGTCTTCTGCGGTGGGAAGGAGGGAGGGAGGGAGCTAGTGGGGTCAAGGGCTGAGCGAGGGGTGGTCCCTGCCCCCAGTCACCACCGACCTCTTTCCCCCAGCCTGCCAGCCTGGCCGCTATGGCAAACGCTGTGTGCCCTGCAAGTGTGCCAACCACTCCTCCTGCCACCCCTCGGATGGGACCTGCTACTGTCTGGCCGGCTGGACAGGCCCCGATTGCTCCCAGCGTAGGTGGCGGCTTGTATGCGAGAGCGCATGCGTGCTGAGAGCTGGGCTGAGGACCAGAGGCTTCCGTGCCGCTGCTCCCGGGTGTGAAAGCCTCCCGGCCCACTTTGATTCAGTAGTTTATATAAACAATACGGACACTATATAATGACCCAGGTGCTCGGGGTGCAGCTCGGGACTTGCAGAAGACAAGTCCCCTGACCCTTCTGCAGGGCGGCCTGGGAAGGGCATTTTTGTCCGGGCATGGGGGGGGGGGGGCGCTAAGCTTGGTTTTGGACATGTTCTTTTTTTGCTTCTAAGGTTTTCAATTTATATTTATTTATATGTGGCTTCTTCCCCCCATAAATATATAAAGAACATCACGGAACAGATTAGTCCAAAAAACCAAGTACGGCAAGTGTTAGAAAGATGAAACAAGAAGCGGTGACCCAGAAGCTGGGTGTGGGCTCGGTGGCGGCGGTCGAGGGGCGTGATGGAGGGGAGCGTCCCCATAGAATTCGGTCCCGGCTACCGTTACAATTATTTGCTAATGTCAGGCACACAGAAATTATGCCTCAAATAGTATGGATGCTTACTTCTGTCTTAGGTTAAAGAGAAAAAAGGAATCCAGAGCTAAGCAATGCAGGGTAGTAATGGTGCCCTTTGCTTGTCTGGCCCTGGGCGCCCCATCTTGATATGGCTATTAGATAACCAAGCGCAGGTTCAAATGGGCAGCTGGGCATGCGATAAACATCTGTGAGTCATCTGTGGGCAGCTCTGGTTCAAAACCTTGGTGTCCCAGGGAGACCAAGGCTGAGCAGATTCAATGAGGCTGGGGGCTGAGCATTCGTCCAGCAGGGGCCGGCCCTGCCCCGCCAGACAGCCATTTGTCCCCTGCAGCATGCCCTCTAGGACACTGGGGAGCCAATTGTGCCCAGCCCTGCCAGTGCCACCATGGAGGCACCTGCCACCCCCAGGATGGGAGCTGTTTCTGCCCCCCAGGCTGGACTGGACACCTCTGCTTGGAAGGTACCCACAGAAGGGGGACTCATGCCCCACCCCCCAGCCCAAGGAGGAGACTGCAGCTTTGGGGCCCTCGCTCCACCTGCCTCCTTGCCTCCCTCCCAGGCTGCTCTCCCGGGATGTTCGGAGCCAACTGCTCCCAGCCATGCCAGTGCGGTCCTGGAGAGAGGTGCCACCCGGAGACTGGGGCCTGTGTGTGTTCCCCAGAGGACAACGGTGCACCCTGTAGGATTGGTGAGTTCTTCTCTAGGCCCCCGTTGTCCCCAGGGCACCAGGACCCAGACCCCTCATACTCCCGGCCTCCCTCCTCGGGCTTCTCACGTGCGTGCGCCCCACGCGTAGCAGCAGAGCCGGGACATGCCGAGTGGCCACCCTGTCCCCCTAGGAAACCAGGAGCCCTTCACCATGATGCCTACCTCTCCGGTGACCTATAACTCGCTGGGGGCAGTGATTGGCATCGCAGTGCTGGGGTCCCTGGTAGTGGCCCTGCTGGCGCTGTTCATTGGCTACCGCCATTGGCAAAAAGGCAAAGAACATCAACACCTGACGGTGGCCTACAGCGGCGGGCGCCTGGACAGCTCCGAGTACGTCATGCCAGGTGAGCCGGCCTGGGGGTGGGGGGGGGAGGGCTCCTGTGTCCCCACTCCGGACCTGGAAGATGGGAAGTGGGGTGCTGGAGGGGCGAGGCGAGGTCAGAGAGGCTGGTTACTGACCTGCTGGGACAGAGCAGCTCTCCTGGGCCAGGGCCTCTGTCTGACCGGCCAGGTCACCACGCGCCTGTGTCTGTCCATGCAGATGTCCCCCCGAGCTACAGCCACTACTACTCCAACCCCAGCTACCACACCCTGTCACAGTGCTCCCCCAACCCCCCGCCCCCTAACAAGGTCAGTGCCGGCGGGGTGGGGGGGTGCTGCAGAGGGGTGGGCACAGACTTGGTTCTCTGGGGGGCTCCATCCTGACGAGCTACTGTCCCACGCCCCCTCCCCTCGTTAGGTTCCAGGCAGTCAGCTGTTCACTAGCCTCCAGGTCCCCGAGCGGCCAGGGGGTGTGCATGGCCTGGATAACCACAGCACCCTGCCTGCTGACTGGAAGCACCGCCGGGAGCCCCCACCAGGGCCTCTGGACAGGGGTAGGAGCCTGGAGGCCGAGGCCTCTGGTGGGGGTGGCCGTGTGCAGCCCGGCATCCTGTTCCATCTGAGCATGGGAGGCTCCAGTTCCAGAGGAGGTGGGAGCCTGACTGCTCACTGCCCCACTCCTCTCCCTCCTGCTCAGGTAGCGGCCGCCTGGACCGAAGCTACAGCCCCAGTTCCAGCAGCCACGGAGGTCCAGGCCCGTTCTCTAGCAAAGGCATGGGCAGAGCGGCGAGGGAGCGGGCTGAGCTGGGAGCTACGAGCCAGGGCCCCCACGGAGCCTGACTTCCTTCCTCTGTCCTTAGGGCCCATCTCTGAGGAGGGGCTGGGGGCCAGCCTGGCTTCCCTGAGCAGCGAAAACCCCTACGCCACCATCCGGGACCTGCCCAGCCTCCTAGGGAGCCCCCGGGAGAGCAGCTATGTGGAGATGAAAGGCCCTCCCTCAGGGTCCCCCCCCAGGCAGCCCGCTCAGCTCTGGGACAGCCAGAGGCGGCGCCGCCCCCAGCCACAGAGAGACAGTGGCACCTATGAACAGCCCAGCCCTCTGACCTATGGTGAGCCCCCCTTCTCCGCTGGGGCAGGGCTAATGGTGGCCAGGACAGGGAGGGGGAGGAAGGGTCAGAGGGAGGGAGAGCAGGGGTGGCATGGCGTGGCAGCAAGAGCATGGGCTCTGGGCTCAGACTTGGGCTCACACCAGGCACGATGTTTGGGAAATCACCTTGCCTCTCAGAGCCCGTGAGCTGTGTACCTACCTCACAGGGCTGAGGACTTGAAATGGTGGTCGCACAGCACCTGACTGGTGGAGTTGGTACCCAGAAAAGAGGGGAATAAGGTTGGTGGCAAGGTCAGGGTGGCCTCGGAGGAGGCCACTGGCAGCGGAGGAGGGACACACATCCGTCTGGCTGGGGGCAGGAGGGGCTGTGGTCGGGAGGAGGGTGGAGGAGCCACCTCCCAACCTGTCCCCTCTCTGTCCCCAGACCGAGCCTCTGTGGGCTCCCAGCCCCCACTGCCTCCGGGCCTGCCCCCTGGCCACTACGACTCACCCAAGAACAGCCACATCCCGGGACACTATGACTTGCCTCCAGTACGGCACCCCCCGTCACCCCCGCTCCGGCGCCAGGACCGCTGAGGGTCAGGATGGCAGGCAGGGACCAGCATACCCGTTCTTTGCTGCCCGAGGTTGGGGACAGAGCCTGCTGTACCCTGCCAGGCGCAGGGAGAGGACCGGCAGACCGTGAACATGAGCACATTTACTAGAGGAAGTGAATGTGGAGGGGACAGGGCCTGGCTCCCGGCTTCCAGCGTGGGAGACCCTGGTCAGCAGGAAGCCCGCGTTCCCTTTCATCCATGTTCCAACCTGCTGCTCCCCAAGGCCCCAGGGCCCTTGTGCATAAACTGGTGGGATGAATGTTGCTAGAAAAGTCTGATTTCAGATTAATGTCAAAAATGTACATTGGGTTCCTTTTCTGTGCACTCCCAGGCTGTGTGTGTGTGTGTGTGTGTGTGTGTGTGTAGCTTCAGAGGGCTTCGAGGCACACCGCCTGTCCTGGGGCACTCACTGTGTAGTCGAGAGGCAGCCCAAACCAGTTAACTCTAGCAATAGCCTCTCTGGCCTCCCTGCATCCACTTGGTACCTGCTCCAACCAACGGCTCAGAATACAAGGTGGTTAGCTGACCTCCGCCTGAAAGTCTTCATGGGCGCCCCATGGCTCTTGGGCCCGAGTCAAAACTGTCAGAGGCCTTAGGGGCTCTGCTGGCCTGGCCTGTCTCTTCAGCCTCACCTGGAACTGTGTTCACTGTCACTCCGTTTCAGTCACCCTGGGCTCCAGGTCCTACCAGCCACGCTTCTTCCTACCACAGGAACTTTGCACGTCCATCCTCTTCTCTTCCACTCACCTGTTCACTGCTGTTTGTCCTTCACATCCTCTCTTCATGGAAGTGCCTCTCTTGCATTGCACGGATTACAGCTGTGTGCGTTCACTGGATACCTGGAGAAGGCCTTCAGGGTGCCAGCTCTCTCTGGAATGTGTTGTTTCTTTATGTGATCATTTGATTAATCTCTGCCTCCCCCACCAGACTGTGGGTTCCCCCAACGCAGTTACCATGTATTGTGCTCAACATTGGTTCCCCTTGGCACACAGTAGGCACTCAATAAACGTTCCCCAAAAGGCTGAATGGCTGAGTGAGCTGAAAGTACCAGGGATTAAGTGTTAGTAGGTGCTCAGGTGCGGGCGAACCGCGCGCTCTGAGCTCATAGCCTGCGTAAAGTCCCGCTTCCCGAGGAGCCGCCTGTCTACAGGGCAGCCTCACAAAGGCTTAAAGACCCGCAGGTGCTGGGAGCCGCAGTGGGAGAGCACAACCCTGGGGAGGCTGCTGCGGCTGGGGCGGGACGTCAGGCGGGAGAGGGGCTACTCAAATGGGGGCCCGCCGGTGCGGAACCGACAGGGTCTACGCCGCCCGAGGACATTGAATCCGGATCCACTACCACACCTCCCAGAGGCTAACTAGAGAATAGAAACCCAGTGCCACGCCTTTTCCATCAGTCTGTCTCCTTACGGGACAGGAGGGAGAACCCCAGAAAGTGGATCTGCCCCCACCGACTCTCCCTGCCTAGATCCTTCCGACTGCGGCGAGCCCTAACATGCTCCCGGCTCTCCAGAGCGCCGCTTCCCGGGTGGATTTGGAGGGCGCCTGGCCCCCTCCTCCCTCGCGCTCTCTCCTTGGCTCCGCCCCCGGGCTGCTCCGCCGCCGACCGTGGCTTCGCTCCCGAGTCCCCGGCCGTGGCCCGCCCGGTGGCCCGCGGTGGCTCTGCGGCGCTCCCAGGCTCCCCCACCCCGCCCCGGCTTTGGCTCCGCTTCCGGATTCCCCCCCACCCCGGCTGTGGCTCCGCCCCCGGCTCTGGTTCTGCGGAGCTCCCAGGTTCTCCCGCCCCCCGTCCCGGCTGTGGCTCCGCCCCCGGCTGTGGCTCCGCCCTCGGCTGTGGCTCCGCCCCCGGGCTCCCAGCCCTCTGCTGTGGCTCTGCGGCGCCCCCGGGTGGCCCCGCGCGCTCTGCGGTTGCTCCCGCCGGCCAGCCCGCCGCGCACGGTTGTCGTGGAGAGGGACGCGGAGGCGCGCCACTGCGGGTGGGGCGAGCGGTGGCCGCGGAGTAGAGACCCCTGGTTCGGCCGTCGCCTGGGCGGGCCCCAACGGAGTCCTGTCTCGCCTCCTCGCCGGGCGAGCAGTCTCAGAGTCGCGGCGGACCGCGCCGGCATGTCTGGCGAGGCGAGTGCGCCCGGGGCCTCCCCCAGGGCCCCGCGTCCCGGGACCCAGAAGTCGTCCAGCTCAGTGACCAAGAAGGGGGATCGCGGGGCCAAGGAGAAGCCGGCCACCGTCCTGCAGCCGGTGGGCGAGGAGGAGCCCAAGAACCCTGGTAGGCGGGCGGCGGGGCTCCGCGTGCGCTCGGCTTTGCCAGGGCGGGTGGGCGCCGTCGTGGTGCCGGGCGCTGCACTGGTCGTGCGGGAAGACGTTCTGGTGCGCGCGACAGCCGAGCGGGGGGAGAATCGTAGCATCTCTGGTGCTAAGGAGCGTTGTGTTCAGCAAGTGCACGTACCCAGCTCTTGGCACTTGGCGGGGTGTTCTGCGTGCTAACCGTTATTAGCAGTGCGGCCTTGGGCACCCTCCTTCTCTGTAGTACGGGGATGTGAGGAGCGGTGGAGTGGACCGTGGGAAAGTGTTTCGTAAACTGCGATTCCTTTGTTCCTCCACAAGCATACGTTGTGCACCCGTGTGACCAGCTCTCTACTCCATCTCGGAATACAAATCCCAGTACTCTCAGCCCAGCTCCTGGAACTCAGCTTGGCAGATGTTTGAATTGAACTTGATCCTAGAGAACCCACACTGTGGTTTGGGATGGTGACAAATGCCATAAGATGTGATAAGATGTATGAGAGAAGAGGGCCCAGGGAGTGATAGGAGGTCGCGGGGGAGGGGAGTGGTGGAGGGAACCCACCAGGCGGTGACTTTGAGTTTCATTCGCTCATTCATCCAACAATTACTTTTTGGATACAGAGAGAACAATAGGCACACAGTCCTTTTACGTTTTCTGGGAAAGGAAAACCACGGCACAGTACAAGTAAGCATGTGGCTCTGTATGTTGCAAGTGAAAGAACCCCAACCCAAACAGATGATACATGAAGGGGAATTTATTGGAATTGGAATTTATTATTATTATTATTTTTCAACCCAAACAGATGATACATGAAGGGGAATTTATTGGAATTGGAATTTATTATTATTATTTTTAAGTAGGCTCCACACCCAACAAAGGGCTCAAACTCATGACCCTGAGATCGAGAGTCACATGCTCTACCAACTGAGCCAGCCAGGAGCCCCGTTTGGAAGTCGTCTGGATTCAAATCCATCTGCTTTGGGAGGGACAGGGGCTTGCTGTCCCTGGACTCATGGGAAACAGACTTGGGGGGAGGCTCTGATTGTCACACCTTGGACAGGTGCCGGTCTCCACACACCGCTCTGTATGGACAATGGCGTGGAAGCGGAGAGAATGAGGCAGGGAGGTGGAGTATGAGGCATTTCAACAGGCCAGATGGGTAGTTGGAATTGAGCAGTGAGGGAGAATGGATTAGGCTTCCTGGAAAAATACTTCCCAAGTAGAAGGTAATAAGAATTGGTGGTCTCGGCCGGGGCGGAAAGAGGACAGAGCCAGAAGGATTCCCAGGTTCCAGGAGGCGGGCTGAGGTGCCATTCAACGCAGACGGGAGGGCCTGGAGGAAGGGCGTGTGAGAGAAGACCTTCGAGGGGGGGATGTCGGCTGGGCAGCTGGACACTTGGGTCTGGAGCCCTCAAGAGAGGGCAGGGCTGGAGATGTCACTTTGGGAGCTGCTGATGTCCGGGTGTATTTAAGGCCTGGGAAAGAGAGATTCCCCTGGGGCAGGAGGGAGTGTAACCAGAGGGCGCAGAGCACTCAGGACCCAGCCTAGAGCTATTAGGGGAGGCGCAGCAGGCGGGGAAGTCCAGCTGGCCGGCCGACAGGTGGGAGAGAATGGGGGTGACCACTGCCCGGGACGCTGGGCAGGGCAACACGGCGGTCAGGGCGGCGCTGCGTGCAGCGCGGCAGGTGCAGGGCTCAGAGCGTGATGGCGGCAGTAGGAAGGTTTTAGGAAGGTTTACGGGTTTAGAGGAAATCCCATCTGCGGGCTTCTGTTTCTCAAGAAGTGCAAAGGCAAGGTCAGTAGTGAGAGTGGGGAGGGAGTGTGCGAGGCGGGGAGCAGGAGCAAGGCCCTTCCGGAGCGGCGCCGTCCCCCAGGTAACCGCTCGCTAAAGCGCAGACGCGGAGGCGGAGCGAGTCGGGCGGGCGGCGAGGTTCAGGCAGGCAGCGCGCTTCTGGAGCCGCGGCGGCCCTCGAGGTGCTGGCCAGGAGCTTTGGCATCGCCGTGAGCTTGTTAGAAATGCAACTCCCCGGACTGCACCGGGTCGGTGGAATCAGGGTTCCTGCGGGGGGCGGGGGGGGGCAGGAAACTGACTGGTTCTCCCGGTTGTTCAAGTTTGAGAAGGTCTGTTGTAGAGAAAGGTGGCGTGGGTGAAGCGGGAAGGGTTGAGGGGCTCCCGCAGCAGGGGGAGCAGCGCCGGCGGGCAGGCAGTGTGCCCGACGCAGCTGTGCGACGGGGTTACGCCGGGGCCTGTCCAGGGAGCTAATGTGTCTTGTGTGTCGCGTTCCCTCTGATGGCTGGGCGCACGAGGAACGTACCTCTCGCTCCTTTGCCACGAGAACCCTCCAACCTCTCATGTCTTGTCCCCACGAACGCCGAGCCCCTGTGCTTCCAGGCCATCTCCCGCCTCCGGGCAGGCTACCTGCTGCCCCTGGGTCAGCCTGCAGCCCCGGCGGCCGGCCGAGTGGGAGTGACGGTGCTGTGGGGGCTCCAGGCTGCTCGGCCCTTGGAAGAGCAGGCTGGCGCCAGGCCAACCCTTCTGCCTGCAGATTCCCCCACGGGCCGGGGACACGCCTTCCCGTCTCCAGGAGCCACTTCTTCCTGGGATGCCCCTGGGGAAGCAGAACCGAGCAGGGGCCTCTGGGGACTCGCTCAGTTCTGCACAGCCCTCGGGATGGGCTGTGGCGGGGGCCTGTCTGAATTAGTGTAACTCTTGAATGAATTGATTATTTCTAAAGCATTTAGAACAGTGCGGGGCAGGAGTAAGTGCTATATACTGGTTTGCTGAGTAAATAAAAGCCGGAGGCTCTGCGGGAGCTCGGTGTCCAAGTGGGGTGCAGGGTGGGGGTGGGGGGCTGGGACTGGAGAGGTGCTCCTGGGTTCCTGCCTTTGCTCACAGCAGGCCTGGGCTTCTTCCCCCCCCCCCCCGTGACCCCGGGCCGTCCCAGCGAACCAGGGGCACGGGAGGAGGCTGGGTGGGGGGACACTGTGGGAGGCGCAGGCCCCCGGGGGGCCGGCGGCGGAAGGGAAGCGGCCTTGACCGGTGGCTGGCTGGAGGCGCCCGTACAAAGGTTAGGCGCCCCGGGTTGTGTGCATCCTGAGCCCTCTGGCCCCCTTTCTCCGGGGTCTGGGTTTCCCGCTCTTTGCTCTCAAGTGTTCTCAGCTGCGGGTCTTTACAACGCATTTTACGTTTAAAAAATGGCTGTAAGGACGTCCTCCTTGGAGGAGGGGTCCCAAGCCCCCGGCGGGTGAGCCCGGGGACACGGGGCCTACGCCGTCCCCGCGGGCGGGGGACACCGCTGGCGCCCGCTGCTCTCTGCTGCCCCCCGGTGGCGGCCTCGGGCCACAGCCGCCGTACCCTCCCGTCGCCCCGCAGAGGAGTACCAGTGCACTGGGGTCCTCGAGACGGATTTCGCCGAGCTCTGCACGCGCTCCGGCTACACTGACTTCCCCAAAGTTGTCCCCCGGCCTCGCCCGCACCCGGCCTTCGTCCCCTCGGCCTCGATGTCGGAAAAGCCCACCTTAGGTGAGTGCCAGAGGAGCCCCGGGGGTGCCTGCCAGGGTCGCCTGGTGCCACCCAGTCTCCCATCGCAAGGCGGGCCGAATGGCTGGGGCGCCGAGCAGTGTGTGCGGCCGTGAAGGGAGGGTTCAAAGTCGGGGGGGTGGAGTGGGTGAGTGTCCCTCCTTCCTTCCCAAACCCCAGCCCACCCCAAGAAGCAGCACCCCCAGGCTGGCGCTCCCCCCCCCACC